TCCCCGTGTATCTCTCGCACAGCGATGCCGACCGACCGGTCTGCCGGCCGACCGGTGTTTTCCGAGTAAATATAATGGAAACCGACGTGAAAGTTTTCCGCACACATAGTTTCGCATGCGCTACGAAGGAATCCTTTTATCTCTCCGGTCGTGCAACCAACGTGTCCACGTGGCCGATAGCGATACGGTCGATCACCGGTGGGATCGATATCGCGCGAGTCACGGGTCTTCAGGTACAATCTCCCACCTCTTCCCCTTCTTCTTTGACGGCTTTATCTTCGACCGTGGTTGACCCTCCGCGTTACTATGCAAGACTCGTACGAACTCGCGACACCGCATTTGTGAAAGCTTCGACATGCAGAGAGGAACGAGTACTTATCCCTTCCTTGTCTTTACTGCAAGCAAAAGCCGCGATGTTAATTAACATTATGCACAATTTTATTGGTAATCTATCGTGCTTCTCTAACATAACCGACTATAATTTTAATTGATCAGGTTTCTTGAATTCGAAAAATTAATCTTCGAACTGAACAAATATTTTAATATCTTATTATAGAGCTTTAATTGCACTGTGATTAAATAGTGCGTTAAAAACTCGGTTTTATGAACACTTGTCTCTCATTTACGATTACGCTCTCGGCATATTACGCTATCGTATAGTCACGAAGCGAGATAGTAACCCAGTAACACGCGGAAAGAACGACTATTGATCGGTCGATGCGTCTCTAATCGACGACTGCCACTCGCTGTAATAAAGCCTCTAAAATATTAAAGCAAAATATAAGTATTTAGATATATGTTATATATCGATATAATTAGTGTCGTATTTTATTTAAACAAGATACGAAACCAAAATGATAATTGAAAAAAGAATAATTTAGAAAATATGTATTTAAAGTCTTTGATGTAAAGTTTTATTATTTTCTGCAGCATTTTCTTGATATTATGACAAATTTAAAATTTTATATTGCGCAAAATAATTATGATATCTTGCGTGATGTACACGTCGTTTTATTTTCACTGACTTACATAAAACGTGCGCGACGAATTGCGAAATCGCGAGGATAATTAACTAGAGAGGATTTATCTCATTTGCAAAGATCGATTCTTCATATCTGCTTGGTAGACATTATGAGGCAGCTAACAGCCACGCAGCTCCGGGTAAAATGATACGCTTCCAGCAGACGAGGAAGGGATGCTTTTATCGGTCGTAAAACAACGTTAGGCATCCACGATAACGAGGGAACCGCGAAATGCTACCGAAACAGCAACGAGGAGTGAAGGAGCGATAGGAGAGCGAAGGAAAATCCAATCGCTCGCGCTGGTGGAACATGTGATATTCTGAGGAGCGCATACATGCACGTTCGTGACGTGCAATATCGCTTCACAATTTCGTAATATCACCGTTATATTGGCGACGATTTAAAATATCGTAAAGCAAAATAATACGACGGAGTGGTACTCCAGGTAAGAGTATTCACGCGCGAAACGGTACGCCGATGTCGCGAGTCAGCGAAATTTCGTTATGAGAGGAAAGTGGTGATCTCGAGTATTTCAGGAATAATTTTAGATACATCGTGAAACGATTTGAAAATCGTTTATTCACGATGTGAAATCCAATATTTGATATTACATTTTTTTAAAGAATTTATCTCAATCGCGTTAATTATCAATTTTATTACAATAATTATAATATTAAATAATACTAATTATTTTATTATTCTTGTTAAAAGTACCAAATTGTATCGCTTTACATTGGACGTATACAATGGATGTTCATATTTTTTTCTCTCCACAACATATAATTATTTAAAAAGAATTATTATGTTTTTTCTTTTTCGATAATATTATGATGTGTTTTATAATTTTTTATGTTGGAGTCGAGAACGCAAAATATATATATTAGATAACGATCTTTATTTCTCACTTATTTTTAAGTTTCAACAGAATTCGAATTCGAGATTTAACTGTCAAGATGTTTGACATTACAGTATGTTTGACGTCGAAGTTTAGTTATGTGAAGAGCTTGTAATATAGCTTATCGACACAGCGGCGATTTTTATGTCTTTTCAAGGTGACGTCGAGTTTCCATAAGCGACGTAACAAAATTCCTCTAGGAAGGGAGATGTGCCACGAAGCGGGAGGGGTAGTCGTGCAACCAGGACGCGTCATTTCCGACGGCTAGCGCTTCGTGTAAAGGTTGATCGAACGACGAGAGGGTTGACGAGAATAAGAGAGAGGAAGGGCAGAGAACGTTATCCGCTGCACAGAATCGTAAACTTCGAAGGAGCTTGTAATAACGATAAAACACGAGCAAGCCTAACCGAACCAGGGAA